TATGACTACATTATGATACAATAAATGAGATAAATATGGGAGAGATATGATTTAAAAATGAGCCATATATGGCACATAAATGAGTCATTCATGGCTCATTTTTTATCTCATTTTTCACGGCCTGGGTAGTCTTTCAAATCTCTTTTGAAAGGTACTTCTTGTCTCTAAAAACTTTTTAGTGTTCACAGATTCGGCTGATAACTTTGCAACTTGAAGCAGGACTTCTAAAAATCAAACACAATAGTTCTTTTTTGAAGTCCAGGTGGTGAAAAGGGATAGAAAAGTTTCAGTAGGGTTTTCTCGTTCCCTACCTTTTAACTGTAATAACTTTCTCGCTAGACCAATGACGAAAACTTGAGCGGATCATTTCCACTGCTTCACGCAGTTAATAGTTCCAGTTACTCCCTGAACATGCTATAGTCGAAACAAGTAGCTATAGTTTACTGTAATCATGTAATATTAAAACCAGTAATCGATTGACACTGTTTTTAAAGATATCTCTCTCACTGATTATCGATGTTTGTTTAATGTGAATGACTTTTTCGAGACCAGAGATTAAAATTTTATACCGTTTGTCCTGAATATGATCGTGTAAACTATAGTCGAAAAGATAAGTTTATTTTCGGTTAATAATTATATTGTTTTATTCATTGGCCATTCTAGGTTATTTTATCTTTGATGAATTGTAATAGAAAACAAAATCAAATTGTGGAATTCGTAATTTTAAAGAATTTGTATGCAGGTTCTGTTTGCAAAATTTTGTTGAAAATTCGAAACAAATACTTTCGATATTGTAAGGTGAACAGATAAAAGTTTATCTTTTCCATCTAGTTTTTCTGAAACAATAAATTATTATTGCTTGTTGACCATGAGAACACGATGCTCGATAAGCTCGCGAAACCTCGCAGTTAAGTCAGTTTGAAGTTGCAATAAAACTAATCAAGACTTACTCCTTGAATAGTATAAGTTGTATACTGCCATATTATTTGATGAGTCCATATTGTTGCCAAATTATATAAATTGCATAGTAAAAATCGAATAAATGAATGCCAGAGTAAGTAAAGAACTAAAAGCTCCCAGCCAAAGCCGAGATGACGCAGCCTCAGCAAAACTCTCCTACACAAGAATTGCTAGAAATATGCAATGGAGCAATCGCACATGTTCCTCATACTAAGAAAAAGACAAGTACGCCTCATGTCAGGTGTCGCATCTACGTAGATCCCAACCAAAACTACATTAAAGAAGCAGCCACACCAACAATCCACCACCAATGCAACCATAAACACATGCAACTAATGCAAAAAAACAGGGGGATAACCTTGAAATAAATTAATAACTCCATCTGATTGGATCGAATTGTCAAAAAACACACAGATCCCTATGGGTCAAACATGGAAAAACCGAAAACGCAGCATAGCCGTCAAGCAAATCGCAAATTGCGAAAAATACGGCAAAGAACATCGTTTAAAGCACGTGTCACTACTCGTTGCCAACGGACGAACGGACATTTCGTCCATATGACTGTAGACTTTCAGTCAAGAGAATAAAGCATATCCAACAGTTGGTCGTCAGATATTACCGTCATCTGTAGTATATAGTACTCGACCTCTACTATATCTGTATTTAAGCGTATGTTAAGAGATCATCTGGGCTTTCAATACTTTTTAGGTTTATTACTCTTTCTCTTAAAATGCATCACACTTATGTTTTCTGTTACAATGTATGTCTTATAATAGCGATTCTTTTTAGAAACTTTTTAGTTTAGGTTATCATGAGGTGTCTCCGGATGCCACAAGTCTTTCTGGTGCTTTTTCGTGGTATCCTACTTTTGTGTAAAATAAATCTATCTATCTATCTATGTTTCATGCAATTTAAAGGTTACTCCTACTATCCATTTCAAAATATAAAGAACGCGGATGTTTTTTAATAACATTTGATAGAAAGTAGCTAGAGAGCTTCGACCTTCTCCATGCAAAAGAAGAGACTTGCTGACATGTTTTCACAAGCATAAACGTTTCCGGCAGTGTTTTCTGAAACAGGTTTTCTAAGAGATCTTTGAAAAACCAGGCCTTGTGTAAAGATTTTCAATACAATTGGATTGATTTTCTTCCATGTTATGACAGTCCAAGGTATCCTCTTCAAAATGAGAGTCAAGCTAGATCTTGATTTTCCGTGGTTCGGGTGTTGTGTCGGATTTCCTGCGAGTCCGAGTACTGGCACCCGGTGATTATCGATAGTTTTGAAAACGGATGGACTATAGTATACCTTGGAGTTAATCATAACATGGAAGAAAATCAATACAATTCTATTGGAAATCTTTACACAAGGCCTGGTTTTCCAAAGATCTCTTAGAAAACCTGTTTCAGAAAACACTTCCGGAAACGTTTATGCTTGTGAAAACATGTCAGCAGGTCTCTTCTTTCGCATGGCGAAGGTCGAAGCTCTCTAGCTACTTTCTATCAAATGTTATTAAAAAAATACCCGTGCTCTTTATGTTTTGAAATGGATAGTAGTCACTGGATGCTAGTCCTAGGACCCCAGTGATACCGATACCACGACAAAACCGCTGAAAATCAAGGTCTCGCTTGTCTCTCATTTTGAAGCTGACACTTTGGATTATCTACCCATGTAGAAAAACAGAATATTTGTATTTCAAATTCTTGAGTAATAACTTGATCTTCTAAAGATCCTCTGGAAAACGTAATTGCAAAAGTTTTCGAAATTATTTTCTTGATAAGGAGATGCGGTCAAGTCTTTGCGTTCAATTATTGCAGTGATCAATCCTCTATCTTTCGATGCAAAAAAATGCATAGTTGCTTCTGTAATGAATTTCGCAGCTACCAGTGGTTTTCCAAAGATCCTCAAAAAAAACTGAAGTTTTGATATTTTTGCAAAAAAAAGTTTCTTCTCGTGAGAACATGTGTAAAGGTCTGAAGTACACACTGATGGGAACCACAGGTCTCTATCCAGCTTATTCAGAAAACAACCACGCACATTATACTGGGGAGCTTGAACACATCATCTCTTTCTTTTTTCTGTTCTCATTTTTTATATTCTCTGTATGTTAGCCCTTTTTTTTGACACCTACTTAAAACCGTAAAAGGAAAAAGAAACTCATATTTTTTTAAATAAATTATTGTTTGTGTTCTGTTACATGGAAACGCTCTCGCGTAGAGAAGAAGAAAACTCTTGTGGCTTCCTTTCTACGGTTGCTTATCATAAACATAAAACGTGTTTTCTTTGCAGAACAATAATCAGTGAGAAAATGCCCTTTGTTGGGAATGTTAACAATGTACGGCTTCCAAATTCCGTTGAAATTGCAATTATGCGATGTAAGTGAATTTATTCGGCACACACGGAGTGGACGCGATGTCTGTTCTTTTCTTCTAGCCGGTTGTATAACGGAAGAGCTGGATTCTACCTATCCTATTCATTTGAACGGTGTTATTAGCCGTGACGAATTTCATCAGTCTGTTAGAAATATAAACCGCTCAATTCAATCATCATGTTCGAGACGTCTGCTGTGTCTACTCGGAACGGGATTTTTGATTTTGCTTACCTCTATTCTCCTATTTATTATTGGTGGGATAAACAGTAACTCTCGCCAAGCACATAGAATTATGCCGGTGATGTTTGCCATTGCCGGTGGTTGTCTAGGCTTAAGCATATTTATTTTGAATATTGGTCTGATAGTGATGCAGACGAGCAGAGTGAAGCGTATGCGACAAACTGTGGAAGAAGAATCCGAAAAGTACTGCAGAAGGATACCAGTGGCGTGTAGTTGGAGACTGAACGTTCCCAAAAGAGCGCGGAATGCAACCTACAGTGTAAATACTAGTCTGTATACCTCATCCTTTTACAGAAGGAAGGTGAAATTTTTTCTTTGTTTCATGTTTTGTTCTTTAGGTGACAGTTGAAATTGATCGCTCGTTAATGATTTATTACAACGAGCCAGTACCGAACTACAGTGAGTTTGACCAATCACCACCACCACCGTATCCTGGTAATACTGTCGAGCAAGCTGGGACAGAGAACAAATGTGAAGCAACTTCTGTAACGCTTGTTATCGAATAATCGTGTATACGAGTTTGAAGTTCGTTTTATAGCAAATTCTCGTTTTCCGTAGTTTTCGAGTTACGCATGTTTTTGTGAGATCCACAAACTGCTGAGACTTTTGTTCTTTAGCGAGTAATTCTTTGAGCCACTCTTTTGAAACATTCTTATTATATAATATTTCTGTAACGCGTACAAGCGTATCCGCAAGCACAGCCTTACTCCGAACTAATCGCAGCTCTAGAAATCGTAATATAACTACGAAAAATATTTGCGCTGTCGGGCGCTCCTTTAGGCTTCTGTTGCTCTGACAGCCACATTGAACACATTCAACAGTTGGAACAGAAATCTACTGTTGGCGTTTTATCGACATAATTTCGTTTAATTTCAAGTCCAAGTACCTATTTGAATAGCGCAAGAATTCTGCTACGAATTCAGTTAAAATCTTCCGTTTTTGTCTAATTTGGTTGGGAAACAAACCAGCTTTTTCTCACGAACCGGCTGAAAAAACATCAGTTTTAGACCTTGTTTGATAAATATTCCTTAATGTAACAGAGTGCTCTTTCGTCCAGAAGTAAATATACAAATATAGAGGAGTAAAAATATTAAAAGGATTTGAAAATTCATTGAGTAAAACGGTCTTTATACGCAGAACAGCGCAGAGTAGTAACGGTACAATGCCATTGCAATTATAATGTAATTAAAGTTATCTGAAAGCCGGATATTCAAACTTTTTAGTGAACTTTTGCTTCTCTTCACAATTGAAAAAAAGTGAATCTGAATTTCAGATTTTTTTCAAGTTTTAACTGACTACAATAGTCAAAAAACAGTGTCCTTCGAAAACCTTACTGCTGTTCATTTCACTGGGCTTTGAAGATGTAATGATATTTTCCAAATATAATCTGATTGAATGTTTTTTGAGGGATATTTAGCTAAGAGCAGATAGAGACTGATAGTTTTCGATGTTCCATAGAGGATAATTCACGACATGAATAAATGAGAAAACTGAGTTCAAGTTCTCTGTTCATCATAGTGTATTTTATCATGCAACCGTAGATGGTTTTCGTGACAGGAACGAAAACGTACAGTAGTAATGACTTGAAAACTCAGTATCAATATTGGCTGTCGTAATATAATTGTTTAAAATTATTAATGTTTAGCTTTTTTCAAACTAAGACACTTCTGAGAAAAACGGATAAAATGATACATGAAGCTAAAATATCACATTTCGAACGAAAAAATCCAAAAAGGTCGATATTTTCGATATTGGTATTTCGATATGGATACCGATACTCTTGCATACCATGCAAATCGTATGCGATTTTTGATTTTCATCTGATTTAAATATTTTAAGGTGCCCTCTTTCAAGTTAGAATAGTATTTAGACTCTGAAACAGGCGGGAATGCGTTTTCAAGCGGCTTACAGAAATCGTCCTTGAGGATTTTTCTACTTTTCGCTGGTTTTTGACGAAGTTTATAAGGCGCGCGTAATTCAAAGTTACCACGCATTTTTATTTTTAATTCAAATAGATATATTCTGATAGAGCAAAGTGTGCTGATCACGAATATCGCCGTCCGAGTTTAAAAAATATCATCTTCAGGG